TATATTCCAAGGGGAGTCCAGACAGATTTCCATGAAGATATAAAATTCAACATCAATTTGCACATGCAAGCGATGACAGATGTTGACTGAGAGCAGTATGCTGCACTTTATTTTGCCAGCGTATAAGACTGAATCTCGCTTATTGTGCAAATGACTGACTTCCAACAATGACGATAGCACCCGGAGGAAGAATCGATGCCATGGCCGAGAATTAAGTACTGGCTCCCGTCCCAATAATTTTAAATTATAGGGACCGGTAGCTATATTCGCATTTAAAGGGTAGCTGCAATCAATTTGTCTGAATACAAATCTTCACAATGTTGTGTCTCATTTACTTTATTGTAGCGGGTCCGGTCCCCTGCCAATCTCGGGGGTTGGCGGTCCATCTGCCACTAAAGGGGGAATTTGAGGCCAGACAAAAACAGACAGTTCACCAGGCACAGGACTTATGTGCTGAACATGGGCTGGATCCCCTTTATTTTGCCGTCGCCAATAACTGGCTTGCATCATGGGGGATCGCATCTTGTACACGTAGTCGAAAATTCCGCTCTTTACCAGTGCCATGTTTCCCTCCATTTTGAAAAAAACTTAGATACCATTTGCCTTCAAAATACAAACAGTTTGAAAATCCAGAGCATACAGATGTGAAAAACGCAAAATACATGTAGGCCTAATCAGGAACTCGCGTGAGTACCTTGCTGAAGTATGTTGACACATTGTCGGCTAATGAAGGAAGAGAAATCACCTCTTTCTGGTTTAAATGATCGTCATCCTTCATTTAGTGCTTTACAAGTGTGCACATAGGGCCTTGCTACAAACGTGTCTTGAAAACATGCACAAGGTTCAAAGGTCACATAATTCGTTGATATAACTGGGGAATTTCCAAACCCCTACATTGTTTTCAACTTTTTTGGCACTATTTCAAAGGGTATCTTGCTTCCTTTGAGGTTGTTATGCTAATGAGTATTTCCATATTCATGAGCAAAACTGTGATGTCATCCCAGGAAGAAAGCCTAAATGTTTTATTGATTTGAACACAAAAACGTCATGCATTTGTGTACAGATTTTGGTGGACTAAATTTTCTGTTTTTTGCTATTTCAGTTTTGTTCTAGCAATTAGTGAGCACCACTGCTTTTCTCAAATGTTTTTAGTAAGTAAATTCTGGATCCACAGTTTTTTTTTATAGAAAACATGCAATGAAAATTCTACTCTGTATTCCTTCGCTAGATGACATCACAACAGCAGCGCCCACAGTTGTCCAGGAAAGTGTGGATAATTTTAAGTGTTTAAAAACTGCAATTTTCAGTACATTTAACCTATGATTTAACCAAGTGGGAGTGTAGAAGAGTTCTCATACCTTAAAAAAGAGGACAAAGTTGTAGAAAAATTGCGTCTAGGAATTGGGAACCAGTCTACACTTACATGTACGCTGTATGCATATCCAGTCAGCATTAATGTCATACCTAACGAGACAGCTGATAGGCTAGAAAATTGCTCAGGTTTCAAACCACAGCGCTCGCCCTATTGCACAGTTCGTCTGCTGTCAATTTAAACATCCCCATTGCAAGCCTCTGTGTTCAAGTTTAGTTATTGACTTACAATGTACATACAAAATTCTACTGTTTATCAGAGAATAATAGACCTTATTCTCAAGGAAGCCAGTTTGAATCATGTTCCCTGAATCCGTCTTATTCAATATCATGTGCCAAATGGGGTGGTGCCAGGCTATTTTGGATTTCACCCCCATTTTCTTTATTTTAAATGTTGCTTAAAACATGTAGACAATTCACAAATTTTTAATTATTGTAAATGAAATCAATTCATAATAAACTTATTTTCCCTCCCTTCACATGCTTTTATTTCTATTCTTACTTCCTCCCCCAGAAGATAAGTTAACCTCACTTTCGATTCAACATGGTTGACTCGTGAATAAGGCCAAATGATACATTTTCTTTGTCCCATCAACATGCACCATGGTTGCCATCTGTCTGTCCATATATTATGGCTTATATGTATGTCCATTCAGGTAAATATACATGTAGAACGATGTAGCTAGTAGGACATATCGTCTGACACTAACACTTGTCATTACTCTGATTCAGTGGGGACCAAAAGTGTTCTGAGGACCGAGGAATGTCCCCACAACTTGGTCCTAATTTGCCCAGCAAAAGAAATTGTCCCCCTGCAGCAAAAGAAATTGGCCCCAACAAAAGAAATTGGCCCCTTCGATAACGCAATGAAAGTCTGCTCAAACATGTATGTTTCCGGGTCGTGCGGACATCACTTGTTGAAATGTCTTAAAAGGGACCAAAAAACTTCAGAGCACGGTTTCATCTTTTGGAACAAAGAAACTTGTCACGTCAACCTCAGGGAAGGTCCACCCACGCTCACACTAGTATGGACATGTTGTTCACATGTTTGTCAGTTTCAATTCTAATTGCTCCCAGAATTAAACATGCTCATAAATTGTAATGGAAGAGAAACTTGTGACATTGAATGGACATGTTGTAACATAATCTGAAAATACATGTATGTGACCATGTAAGTAACATGTATATATAGATGACAACCGTGCTTTAGTGCTGCCATCCAGAAATGAAATTACTGTATAGTTCAGAAGGGCAGTGTACTCGCTGTTGTAAATGAGTCTTGTGCCTATCCCATTCAAAATGGCGGTCTCCAGGTTGTTGTCTCCATTGAAGTTAGTGCAGCTGAGATTTTTTTTTTTAGTTTATTCAATTTTAGCAATTAAATCACTTCTAAACTTCAGCACTATAACTCACTCTGCATAAGGCCCCTGGTACAGTACTTGTGCATGAGTAGTTTAGTACCCTCTCCATTACGTTCGTATTATGTTGCATCATTTGAAACCTCTGTACAAACTCTGGCCATATTGAGTCTGCCAGGTATATAAGGGTATTGTCCTCGAGTGCAGTGACACAATCTCATGGAAGGCATACAATAGAGCAAGACCTGCATGCATGTAATGTACTGATGCCAGCACCGAGGTTTCCCCTGCCTATTCCGGAGTGAGGCGGCCCACTTCACTGATTTCAGTGACCACCCCAGGCTTTTCTGTTGAATTTTACCGCCTCACACTTAAGATAGACAAAGGTGGAAGGAAAAAAGCACAACATTTTTGATATTTGATACAGATCAATTTCCAGTCATTCAGAATGGCGAGGAGGGACAGACACGGAATACAAGACTGATTTATTTCACATTTGGAGTTAATGTACTATTTTACTGTAAAGAATTTATTTTAGGCCTTTTTGAAAACACTTGCTTTTGTTTTAGACACTAGAATTTTGGCAAAATTGGTGCACACATCCACATTCAAGACCTTATATGTCACTGATATTTAAGGACTGCAAGGCCTGGTTTGCATACCAGCTTTTAACAAATTTTAGCGCAATGGATTGAGTGTTTGCAGCTCCTGCGTGTACTCGCAGATTATGCGCATGAATGGGCCCTCTACTGAACTAAAACTTGAGACTGCTTTGGACAAGGCTGTATACATATGGTGCAAAAAACTTTTTGAGAGGTAAATTTAAACAAAATCTGGTACACTGAGTTTAATATCTGATTGCTCATAAATGAAACAATTTGAATTCCCCAGACTAAAGGCACTGTTGCTGTTCCTCATGATTTGGGGCAAGCTTTTGCATAGCGACAACCATCTCTGGAATGGATTGGAGCCTTTTTACCCTTCTTATCCATTGAGAACAGTGTATTGTTGCAAGGCGTCTCTTATGTAACTAAGCAAAAGCTTGCCCCGAATCAGGAAGTATAGCAACAGTGTTCTTAGTATGGAGAATTCAAGTTGTTATGCTCGCGTGAATTTAAAGGTCAGTGTACCAGATTTTATTCAAATTTAACTCTCAAAAAGGCTTATATAGTACTGTAGGCGGAGATATGTCTAAGGCCCTGTGTGTGTATCATGTACTCAAATGCAGGTATCAAACTGCAGCCCGAGGCATTATTAATTGAGGTCTATACTTTGCAGGCTGCAATACAGCCTGCAGTTAATTGCCTACAGTGTGCCAAAAATAGCACAGGTCTGGTTGTTGCAAAAAATAGAATCGAAGTCTTCGGAGCAAAAATAGTCACACTTATCGGCATGATGTTCTGTAAGCCTTTTGCCCACGACTGCAGAAAGAACAAGTCTACACTGGCTCATTTTTGGCTCAGGCTCACATATCCAAGCTCCATTTTCGGCTCCAAGAAAAAAAAAAGAGAAAAAAAAAGGGACTTGATGACAACACTGGCTGCCATGCCAGGCTTGGTAATGCATCCGCCGGCTAGTTCCATATTCAGAGAGGCACGCATTTGGCACGTACTCGCTCTCTCCTGACAGTAGTGCAGCAGCTGAGCAGCCATCAAACCTCCGAGTGAAAACATGTTTGCGACGTGCATATGGACCACTACGTGTAAAAGAGGCAGAAGACTGTCAGATGCTCCATAGTATGCCTGACCCTTGGGGTTACATGAACAACCCTTCCTTACCTTTGATGCCATCTACATTTCACTTGAAGCACATTTTCTGGGTATTCTACCACCACTGCTATCACATACAAGAAATAGTTATACTTCTGTTGTATTTTAACCATTAAACGGATAAAAAACCTCAAATAGCAATTGTCAGACTTTAATTTCAGTAGCAAATCTGGCATATACACATGTAACCATATCGGCCATATATAGTTCTCTGCAAAGTACCTGAAGTACTGTGCATGTCCATGTACCTTAAATCTGAAGTGCCTGAAATACCTGAAATTTGAAATACCAGTACGGACTGTAAAAAACCTTGATATCATCATGTGTACATTCCATCTACAAGTGTCAAATTTCAGCCCTTCCTTTTTTAGAAGTTAAATGCAAAAACCTCAAATTTTAAGCCTTCGATGTGAAGCCTATTATGCTGTAAATTTTGATCAGTTCCTTAACCGCATAAGACTCAAGTTCATGGAGACTGTTTTCATTTGTTCCGAACTGGTAGGCAACCACCTGTATCGGTACTCCAAAGTGTTGGATCCTCATCAGCTAGGGGACCCAAAGCCACGCCCCCTACCCGCCTGCCCCCATCTAGCGTGGGCCAAAGGAGAACCTCTCAACATCTCAGCTCCCAGGTAAGTACTGGTGTACATTGACATGTGTACATTTACAAGTATATTGCTGCAGGTGCCTGAACATGCTTTACTGTGTCGTCACTGCATTAATGACGGGACTTTTCTTTGCAGGTGCACTTGCCGATCTTATTCCTGTGAAAATTGATACAGCACTCCATCACTGCATCCAAATTCATATGAACAGATAAATCCCTTTCTAGTAAACCTTGATCACTTGATAAAAACCAGCAGATAGCAGGAATGATCGCAGCCAAGAGTGGATCATATTGTAATGCAGAGTCAGTGGATGAAGTGAAAAACAGTGGTGCTGGGACGGAAAGAAAAACAAGAAGTCCATTATCATCGTGGGTCAAAGACAAAGTAGAAATGACACTCAGCGGTTCAGTCTTACAAGGCACGCAGCACTGGAAACGTTAAAACTCTTGCCTTATTTGCATTCCCCCGAGGGTTCTGTCGTCAAGATCTTTCCACAGACGTACTCGATTATTTTTAGCCGTCTTCCCGACTGTGTACACGTATGCTAATGTCAACGACCCACTCCTTCAAATGCTGGGCTGATCTCAACAAGTTCTGGCCCCATAATTTCACCAGATTCTTTTTGCTTTTCGTCTTCTTCTTTTCAAGTACTTTTTAAAAATTTTTAGAATTCACACAGTTTTGTCAGAGACTTGAAGCCATCAGGGGGTTACAGTTTCATCGTCCAGAGCAATAGTCTTGAGGTTTCTTGCTAGACCGTGAAGGGAGGCTTATGCTTATCCGGCGTTAATACCCACGGAAATCTTGTTCGTTGGCCCGAATCCCTGATTCTGGGGGTCTACATGTCCCTTGGCTGTCATGAAAAAAAAAAGCAGTGCTGACTCTGCCACATTTTTTTTCTGCGTGTAAAGATGTCTTGGCTGAGACCATGTCAAGATTCAGGGATTTGGCGACGCGGTGATATCACTTGAGGGTAATATACTCAGAAGGCCTTTTTATCTCGAGTGTTGGGAGGGCACAGGCACTAACAACTGTGTCAAGTGTGCCATTGGACGGTTGGGAGCAATTCCCGCCGCAGATTTGACGCTCTGAAATCGTGATTGTTTCAGAAAACCATTGCTTCTGTCGAGTGCAACTCGACACCTCTCTTGTTTTTTATGAGTATCAGTGGTGTTAACAACTTTCGCATGATGTGTATGATGTATGAACATGCATACATGGATATGCTCCTTGATAGATCATCGAAGCACAATAAAGAAGTGTTCTCAAGTCTGGCATGTTATCTATTTTTTGGCCATTTTGGAAATTCCACATCTCATTGAATTGTCATTCCACGCAAAGCCAGCAAGTCTAAATTTTCCTGAGACAACCATGCTGTACTGTGATTATTCATGTAAACACCACCCTGCATACTGTGGCAGTAGCTCAGTTGAAAAGCTTGGAAATTGCACCGCATTCCTGAATCTGGACCAAAAATGAGAAGGCAACTTTGGGAAGGTTAAGTTACACAGAATCTGGACTGGTTCCAAAAATAATTTTGATGTATGAACATGACACTCCGCAAGGAATGATCAAAGGATGTACTGTGCCGTACATGAACCCCGTGCGCTGCATTTCTAGTGGAACAGCAGGCTGGATCAAGTACCCCTTATCCATGATCTACAGGCGGGATTCTATTAAAATCGTCTGGGCCGTTTCTTAAACTTACTTGAATTACTTTTTTTTACTTCTGTGTCCACAATGGGACATTACAAAGGAAGGAGTGGGAGAGTGTACGACACTTGTCATGCTCTTGGCATGCTGTATTCAATTTGGAGAACAACGGGTGCTTCTTTTCATGTCGCAGTCATTTCAAAATCGTTAAGCTGATGAAAAGTGACGATGTGAGTTAACTCCACATCAAAGTTGTTAGACTGGGGTGGCTGAACACTGTACAGACTTATGGGGATCATTCTTACAGTGTTTGCAAATTGCTCCCAGTGCTGCATGCACTGGTACAGCTCATGCATAAGAACAATTCTAAAATCTCCATTTTATTGTTGATATTTTATTGGGTTGTGTTTCTTTGGTTTAGGGTTATGTTTTGTTTTTAGTTTTTATTTATTGTGAGTTTTGTACTTTTTTGTAGTTTTTGTTCTTGGTTCAAGGCAAATTTAATACAGGTCAAGAAATGTTAGTTTTAAAGTGTTTACTGTGCATGTACGGTACATGTATACATGTACATGTATGCATGTACATGTATACATGTACATGTATACATGTACATGTATGTTGTACATGTGCTCAGAGAAATAGACACGCGAAGTTGGATTTGCACAATACACCATTCTTTTCATCAGTTTGTTAGTCACAAGTGTGAAAGTCTTCCTTGTTGTGTGTTCAGCTGAATCCAACCCTCTTGTTTGAGACTGGGTGACATTGGCAAACCATTCTTTTCTTTCATTTGACCATCCCACAGCCTTGCATGATCTTTTTTCAGTCCTTCTGCCAAGGAGCCCCTCTCCTTCAACTGGATCACTGGCCTGTTTTTCCCGATTCTCCTTCACCAAGTCTTTCCCCAGAACACCTCCACACTCAGGATTGTCACCGATATGAAATATTTACAGTTTACGTCACGCTCCTTTGCAACCTCTCCCGTTTGGTTTCTCGAAAGACACGGACGCCCAAAGGTGTGATATGCTGCTCGGAAATTGTAGGGGATCTCTTAACGGGTCGGTGAAGCAGTGAATTGGCAAGGGCGTCTTGGGATGCGAGATGGGGTTTTTTACTCTAATTTTTTTTTATAGGGTGCCAAGAGTGACATACTAGATCAGGTGGTTTGTACACTGCATGTTTTCTCATGCTAACAAGTATGGTGTCTGTACAGTGATAGTTCAAGATGGAAAGAATATGGATCTCCTATTCAAGTAAAGTCAACTTTTTTAAAAGTTATCACTTTATGATGGTGGTTATTTGGGGTTTTGTTTTTTTTGGGGGGGGGTCATTTTACACTTGTCCCAGTGTGCCATGCATGCGACTTTTTCTTAGGATCAGCTGATTTCCTCATTTTTCACTTCACATTCATGCCATTGAAAGGAAAAAAAACACTTTACAAACTACAAAGTCAGAATTTCCTCGTTTGTTTGTCAAAGTCCAAGTTGCGTGCCTGGTGATCTGCTGGACGGGGTTATTTATTGCAACCTTAAAATGCTCATTTTATTTGATTTTACAGGAAACTTATTACTTTCCGAAAGACAACTTTGAATAAACGACCTCCCAAAATAAAAAAAAAAATTGTCTCTGGTGTATAATATTCAAGAACCAATTTACTAGCTGTCATGTGAGACATTTTTACACTTCATCACCGGTGTGCGTGCATGTGGTCAGAAATCACTCAAGGATGGCAGACCTGAAACTAATGAGGGCATATGTAGTTGATAGACAGTTAGACATACACGTACATAGATACAAGTAAATCTTTGTACAATGTGCATATCAATCATTGTCACTTGTCCTATATATGTGTACGCATGCATGTACAGATATAGAACAAATTCAACCTCAGGTATTTTAACCCACATGACTTATTAAGCACACCACTCATGCTTATGTGTCAAACACATTCATCTTTTCCCTGCATGCACTTGTCAAATATACATGCACATGGAATATTTGTGTCTCAACTGTGATGTTCATGAATAGTTTAGCATTTCAGCATTTCTGGAGATTTGCCCCTCTTCATACATGTCGTTGTTGGGTACCAATTTATGAATAAGAAAAGAGTCCAGTATCAAAGCCATGGGGACTTGTCCGATTTTGTTTACTATATACACATGTACATGCACCTGTGCAGTGGCAGGTTTTACACATACCAACATATGTACATTTAGATAATGGGCATCAAGGGGGGCGTGGGCATTCCTTCCACCCCGTAAAAAAATATGAAAACAAAAAATGAAAAAAATGAAAGAAAACAAAATGGATATGAAAGGCAATGAAAAGCATTAATTTGCTTGAAAAAAGCCCTCCAATTAGACTCCTTCCTGCTATTTATTGTTCCTTTTTAAGCAGGTGAGTGCTTTCTCCCCTGGAACTTCTCCCCTCCCCCCCAAAAAGTGGTTTGCTCCCCCCCCCTTGGCACAAATGTTGGCGACACCCACAGCGTAGATGAACGCTACACATGCAAAAGGCAATGTGAAGTCAGGAGATGTGACCTCTCTCTCCCTAACTCAGGTTATATGCATCTGTACTCGTAGCTGCCAAAGAGTTTAAAGAGTCTCGTTCATTGTCACCAGTTGTGACCGAAATGGCGATTAAAACACAGTGTGAAATTTGAAGGGAGATTTGAATCAATAAAACTAACCACTTTATTTGTACTTTTATCAACATATCCAAACAGGTCTCCCATGTTCTTCCGATAAAAAAAAAGCCACGAAAGAAAAACAAGTTACAGTTCCCAATTGTTTCCATGCACTGAAAAGTGCCACTTGTTGAAAATAAGTGATTCACTCGTGAAGATTTCAAGTTGATCTCCTAATAAGCCATCTGCGTGTGTTAAATTGGAAATAAAATCTGGTACGCTGAGTTCTTCAAATTCACGTGAACGTAACAACTACTAAAACCATACTAAAAACCACTGTTGCTATACCTTGTAATTCGGGGCAAGCTTTTGCTTAGTTACATAAGAGACGCCTTGCAACAATACACTGTTCTCAAGGGATAAGAACGACACAAAGGAACCAATCCTTTCCAGAGATGGTGGTAGCTATGCAAAAGCTTGCCCCGAATCATGAGGAACAGCAACAGTGTCTTTAGTGTGGGGAATTCAAATTGTTACATTTCTGTGCAATCAGATAATACAGTGTACCAGATTTTTTTTCAAATTTCACGCGCAAGTGGCTTATTGGTGTCATGTTCAGTTTTATGCATCCATGTACATGTATGTTGGTGCATTGAGCGACAAAGGTTAGTTAGAAGGCCCATTTAACTGTGTACATGTACAAGTTGTGTGTATCTCTTTGCTGTAGTCACACCCGTTTTTTTCA